GGAGCCACCCCAACCCCTCCCCCTCAGGCCCCACGAACGGTGCCCGCCACTCACGAAGATGCGCAGGTGCCGGGCGCACACCAGCCCCACCGCCCCATTCTGCCCAGGGCCGCACACGACCAGCACCGTCCTCTGCTTCCGGGGCAGGGACGGCAGCGGGAAGGCCTGCGGGACACCGCGGGGCAGGGATCGGAGGAGGGACAGGGCAGCAGCAGGCCGGGGGGCGCGCTGGGGGAGGGCTGGGCTTCAGTCTCCTGCCCGGACGCCGCTGGACTCGGTTAGCCTGTCCCTGTCCCTCCCCAGCCCCAGTGGGGACTGGGCTCCTGCCCTGTCTCTAAATCCTCCGTGTCGTGTCCTCCTTTACCCGCTGGGGAGGGCTGGGGGCCTGGGCACAGCACTGGGCCACACTGGACAGGGCGGTACCTTGGTCACGGCCACCGCGCTGGCCTGCCCGCACAGCTCCGCCAGCTGCTGTCGCCCGAAACGGTACTCTTCCAGCAGCTCCCACTCCAGGGTGGCCACCTCCGCCGCGCTGGGGGGGGGGGCGACCATGGACAGACAGACATGCAAATGCCATTCAGGCACAGTTGGACTGTCCCGTCGGTGTGGTCCTAGACTTGAACTCAAGACCTGGGCATTGTCCCTGAGCGCTAGTGCTCAAGGCTGTTCTTGAGCGATTGCTCCACTCCTGGCCTTCTGGTGGTTAATTGAAGACTCACCAACTTTACTGCCCAGGCTTTGGACTGCAAGCCCTGCATCTCAGCCTCCTGAGCAGCTGGGATGACAGGCGTGAGCCACAGTGCCCTGCCGGGGCCTTTCTTGATCAGTTTCGCTAAGGGACCAGCACCAGTGGAATGGCAGTGCTTGGGGGCGTGCGCCCTCTGGTGGCGCTGGCCAGGACGTGGCTGCTCCAAAGAAGGAGACAGAAAGGCCATGATGTCCAGAGGGGTGGAGAGGAGAGCCTTGTAGCCCTCTGCCTCTCCCTGAATGCTAGGGTTACAGGTGTGGCCACCATGCCTGGCCTAACAGGACTTCTGTATTCTCTAGGTCTGTAACCGGGACTTGAACTGGGTGCCCATGCTGTGGCTGCTTCTGCTCATTGGCTAGCTACAGACAGGGGCCATGCCTCCAGCCCCTCAAGTACTTGGCCGGGAAGCCATGTCCCAAGCTCCTGGACACTAGCGGAGACAGACTGGGCTGGCAGGTGGGAGGGGGGGCTCACTCGGAGAGGTGAGTGGCCCCTGGGGCTTCTGCACGCTTCTCTGGGTAAATGTGAAGGTGGTAGGTGGTGTGCCATCTGTGAGGTCCAGTGACTTGCTCACAAGTCACTAACATTTCGTGCTGGCCGGCTGGGAATGGGGGTTCAGGCCACCTGCTTGTGCTGAGACCCCCCTTCCCTCCCCGGCCACAGGAGCTCGCACAGGAGCGCCAGCCCTCATCTCAGCTGGCTTCTGCTCGAGCCAGGCCAGGTTAGGCTAAAAGCAACCTCCTGTTGAGAAATGCGCGAGTTTAGGGCTGAGGCTCGCGGGAAGGGTGCGCGCAGTGAGCGGCGACGCTGGGATCTCAAAGATGGGACCGGGTGGTCGTCACTGCAGATCGGGCTGGGGGCACCCAGAAGCCTCTGGTGCCCGTCTGAGAGGAGCCGGGAGCGCGGGGCGGGGGGCAGGCTGGGCGCAGCGGGGGGAGGGAGCCGCAGAGCCCGGCGGGGAGGTGGAGGATGCCCCCGGCCGCCGGCCCGCGCAGGTGCAGCAGGAAGCGGAGCCTTTGGAGGGCAGCCCGGCCACGTTGTGAACCCTTGTCTCCAAGGGATAGGAGTTGGGGTCCTCAGCCCCCGAATGAGGCAGGCGGGGGGCTGGGACCATGGGCGTGCGCCTCGCACGTGGAGCCTGGGGGCACCAGCCGCTCCGGGGAGGGCAGGGCAGGGCCTCTGCGGGGCTCTGCCGCCCTCCGCCTTAGCCCCCAGGGGCCCCCCAAGAGGGCCTGCACCCCTTCCTGCGTTCCTCCATCTCAGCGCCTCACTCCGATGCACCACTCAAGCCCCTGCGCCTGTCTCCCGGCACTGCACCGCCACCCACCCCGGCCTAGGACTCGCCCCGCGGGCCCCGCATCTGGAGGAGGCGGGAGCGGCGGCCGTGGGGCTTCCATCGATGTCCCGCGGGCCCCACTGCCCAGGCTGCTTCTCCCCTCTCCCGCGCTCCCCGCTGACCTGAGGAAGCGCGGCTCCTCGGGCGTCTCGGGGTCCGGCCTGGCAGAGCTGCTCATGTCTGCGGAGCTGAGCGATGTGCGCGGCCGCCCGCCGCCCGCCGCCTTTTAAACCAAGCACATCCTTGGTGGGCGGGGACTCCCCTCCCCCCGCCAATCAGGAGGCGTCGCGAAGGCGCAGCGCATGGCCATTGGTGGCGGCGAGAGCTCTCCCTCCCCAGCCCGACACAGCAGCCCAGGTCTCCAGCGTTTATTGGGCGCGGGCGGCGGGGGCGCGGGGAGGGGAGGGAGGGGCGGCGGGGGCCGGGCGGCCGCGGTCCCTCTACGTGTGGGTCACGAAGCCGAAGGCCGCCGCGGAGCGCTCGCTCTTGGGACGCAGGTGGTACAGCTCGGCGATCTGGGGCCGCACCCAGCGCGTGGTGCTGAACACGGACTCGCCCACCTGCGGGACGGGGCGGTCAGCCGGCCCGCCCTCGCGCCCCGGCCCCGCCCTCCCGCGCCCCTCCAGGACCCACCTTCCAGCCAGGCACGTCCTTCATGATGATGGCCTCCTCC